TCGGTCTCCGGCCTTGGCCAGCACAGAGGGCGACACAAACCAGAATAATCACACATGCTCGTACTGATGGAGACATACTTCCAGACTGTATCGACACATGGTATGGTCAGGTATATATAGAAATGTCCACACGGAAATGGGAGATGTAAGACTTAACATCTGTATGTTGTGTCACAATGCTACCAAGTTCACAGCGGTGGTTGATGAAGATGGTTGTTGTAGGTGGACAACATCCCTAGTTTGCCTGCCTGACAGACATACAGAATGGGCGGAAGGTAATGGAAGATGAAAGGTTTGTCGTGGTCTCTCTGATGGCTGAGGCCTCTGTGTAGTTCACAGTGGTAGTTGATGAAGATGACGGTAGTTGTAGGTGGGACAGCATCCCCACCAGGGTGCCTGGCACATATGTAGAAATTGACGGAAGGAAAAGGGAGACGAAAGCTTTGCCATCGTCGCCAAGTTGTATGGTATCGGTACGTAGCTCACTGTGGAGGTTGCTGTCTCTGTGAGTGGCACAACACCCACATACAATGTACTTAAGGTCGACGATGATGACGCCTCGGAGTATGATGTGTGGATGAAAGGATGCTCTCCATGGTGTCGAGAACGTTGCAGTGCAATACGAGTTCAACCACACCCAAATCAAAAGTATTTGCTTGAATGAACCCTTTCTCATTTCAGAAAAAAATAAGTAGTTTGAAGGTTCGTTACTTGTTTATTGATTTTTTTACAGAAGAAATCATTGTTCCCGTTGAATGCAGTGCCACGTGGCATGGATAGGTCCTGCTCTGCTAGCTATTTACAACGCAACTTTCCTGCTTAAATATTAGTCGACGATGAATCAACATCAATAAGACGCCGACTGGTATGTAGATACTATTACTAGAGGTGAGGTGAGGTGAAATTGGGTTTTACGTCGTGCTTGAGAATATTTCGCTCATATGACGACGTGCATGCGTGTGTATGTGTATGTGCGGCTGCTTGTACTAGCCCAGACTGAAGCTGGTTTTATAGTGCTAGCCCACTGAGATACCATGCCGCAGTGAAGCATGAATACCCCACTCAGACACATTATACTGACTCCGAGCCGACCAGTCCTTGTTGTACCCATTAATGCCGAGCGCCAGGCAGTGACCAACAAGTACCATATTTTAACGTCTTTTGGTTTGACGCGGTCGGGGATCGAACCCGCGACCTTCCGCTCTGCGGGCGGACGCTCTAACCACTACACCACGGAGGCGGTCTATTACTAGAGAATATGTTCTTGAGGTTTACGTGGTGGACAGTTATTTCAACAAAAGAGGTGAGTCTATATGACTAACTTAAACGTGACACTGTGTTTTCCGAATTACCGTTTGGAATATTGGTTTCCATAAAGCAGATTCCATAACTGCTCTCTATTGCGGAAACAGAAGCTTAAACGTCGTTTCCATAAGGCATCTGCTAACAGTTGTGTCAGTTGCACGATTTCGACTGTATAAAAGTTTTTGAATAACTGTAAAACAGTGATGACATTCCTCTTGTCATACATTCTTGTGGATGGTGTTTTGTTACTTCGAATCTTTCTGGATCCATGAAGATTCGGGTTAGAATTGGTCTTCAGTAACCCATGCTTGTCGTAAGAGGGGACTAAAGGGAACGGGTGGTCAAGTTCGCTGACTTGTTGACACATGTCATCGTATCCCAATTGTGTAGATCGATGCTCATGCTTTTGGTCACTGGATTGTCTGGTCCAGACTCGATTATTTACAGACACCCGCCATATAACTGGAGTATTTGGTCAGTTATGAGCAGTTTTGCTCTTATCGAAAGTATCAGATAATATAATTATTTAAAGAAACTCACTCACTCGAATCTTTCTGCATAGTTTGAAGATGATTCGTTTTTCCGGGTCTCTTCTGTTCCTAGTTTAGGTGGATAAATCAGTGGACAGGAATGTGCTGGGTGACAATTAGTGAACGAGAACAGATCATCGATTGACCTGAAGCTTAGGAATGTCTGCTCCTTGCCTAAATGCCTTGTCTTTACATTCCACATAGATAGATGTAATCCATGAAAAATAACTCGATCTCTACGTTCATATACATGGTATGAAGTAAACCGTGAAGACACGGGGCTTTGCTGCTACATACATCGTTATGAATCTGTTTATTGATGATATAATTCAGCCAAATATAATTGATTTTCGTCATGTCCGCGGATGTAAAGTTAATATTCTATATTTCCAGTAGAAAAGCTGGTGAAATTAGATTCGTGTATTAAATTTATTGGAATCCAACTGAAGAATCAGGTCACCAGTTAATCAATTTAAATTGATTTTCCGTCGAATGCCTATATACAAGGAAAACGACGTTTTAGTGGCTGTAGTGTTAATTGGTCCCTGGCATCGCATTCAAGCGCCACGTATCGGGTGGTCTCAGTCTACAGTCTACGACCTCACTGTCTGTGTGATATCGTACACGCTTTCATGTTATAACTGCAATATTGGTGGACTATTTCTTCAGCGAAAAATAACATTTTATCACACACTCGATGTATAAAAACATAAATGATCCAATTAAAACAATGAAAAACACGAATAGTTGTGAAAATATAATTTATTTCATCTGTACATAAATAGCATTTCATTTTAACATTTAAAATCTTACATTTTGTTACTTTGAAACTATTTGACAATTGTGTATTTCTTACAGGTGTGTGTTAATGGTTGATGGCGGATGTTTAAACTAAATAAGATGTAGAACGAGATGTAAGGATGATCAGCTGCTTCGGCATTGTGTCATCCAGGCGAAGATGCAGCTGCCACAGCTGAGAGCCTGGGGGAACTGGGGGTTCCTGATGATGTCCCCACACTGGGCCACTACAACAGAGAAACACATTTATGGGAAGTGAAGGGGATAAAATAGGTGAATATTATCAAATACTACTCACTTGCAACTTTCATGAACACTCCTTCGGTTGTATATTTGTAATATCGGTATGCATATTTTCATAACACTCCTGTTGGAGTGTTTGTGCACGAACATTCATATAGGTGCGTTCAGTTCAAGAACATACTTACAGGTGCGTCTATTCACGATTCCTTGTGGTGAGTTTGTGGGAAGATATATATATATATTCAAGAACATATTGGGTATATTTCCGAAAAGGATATTTACGTTCCTCTAAAAACGTTTCAAGTGGCGAAACGAAACGATTTCTATTGTGACCGTGAACTAGTGGGAAAAAAGTAACTATAATCCGATACCATACACAATATATAAATGTGAGTACATGCTCGATCAAAATTCAATATTGTTTGTATATGAAAAAAAGAAATTGCAAAACAAGGAACGATATTTCAACCATGTCAACTTGAGTCGTCGCTCAATACACAAATCAGTGGATTGTATGGTCCAGAGTCGATTAATAAGGTCGATGCTGCATAACTAGACTTTGTGTGTTAAAACAAACACATTTATTCAGAAGACGAAAGACACTTTCGACGAGTATGTAAACGTTATCCTACCGTAAGCTGTACAAAACTGTTCGGTGGAAGAAGAACCGAACGTCTGTGTACATTGTTGATAACCAGCAAACCCGCTCCGTATTCTTCTTGGTCGAGTAAACTGACATGCACACAAGCCGAGACACAGAGCCAGGACCACGTACTTGAAGGTAGATCGGAACATCCTTGTAAATCAGTCTGTGGGACGAGTACTAGTATGCTGTTCATGAAAAACTGTCACTTATATATACTCTCTCCTGATTAACGGAAACGTTTTTTTATCATCTCCCTTCCCGACATGTTGTCAATGAACTCACAGCGTGTTACCGTGGTCAACTGCTGTTGATGTTGCAGCTTGTGTTTTACACAGAAACAACTGGAGATACAGCCTTTTACAGGGGGAACTTCAAACGCGTACGTGGTTTTAAGCGGAAAGAATTAAGATGGATCTTGAAAGATCAATACTGTGTTATCTGTGAAAAACGTCTGCACTGTCGGTGAATGGTAGTCATTTAGTACATTTACATGTATTTATTTTAATTGCCTTTTATTGCACTATGCAGATTATGTATATCTCAATTTCCTGTTCCACTTCAGAAGAGCGTCGTGTTCAGATGACAATCCTTTTGGTATTGGATATGTCGTTCTCCACTTTGTGTAACATAACTTGATGGTACTAATATTCTTCAACTTTATTCTTTTAATATGGAGAACGTGTCCTAATTTGTTTTTCAATTGCATGTTATGAGTTCAGTCCGTGTGAGGTAAGATTCTGAGGTAAGTAAATGTAAAATGTTTAGTTTTCTACAATACAATCGATCGATGTTGGTTCCTCAAGCCATAAAGGATGCATGTAAGCGTACTCTCTGATAATGAAACACTGAACTATTTTAGGCCTAATACATATGTAATGTTGCTACCTTTCATTACCAGTAAATAAATATTTGCACTGACTGTCGATTTATAAACACCGAAATAATTTGACTGAAAGTGCTGTACACATTTGTGAAAGTAACCGCCGCACCGCCGCTCTTGTATTTTTAAACCCGGATATGTCCCGTTGTATGTGATATAAATATATGCTAGTTAAAGCTATTTCTGTTTGAAGTTCATAATCTCACATACGATTATACCAATCGCTGATTGAAAACTTCGTACCATTAACACTAACCAATCTCTATAATGCATAACAACATGCATACGTGTAAACGTGGGCGGTTGGGTAGCCTAGTGGTTAAAGCGTCCGCTCGTCACGCCGAAGACCCGGGTTCGATTACCAACATGGGCACAATGTGTGAAGCCCATTTGTGGTGTCACCCGACGTGATATTGCTGGAATAATGCTAAAAACGGTGTAAAACCATACTCACTCACTCACTACACGTAAACGCTGCTCAGTATCAAGAAAACCCGCTTTTGTCATACCGTGTCAGATTAAACGCAGTAATTATATCAAAGAATCTTTATTTCCTTTTAATCAGTATAAACTGCAATGCAAAACAACGAACATCATATGTCTGTCAATATACCATTTATTTCATATTTTGTCTGAAACTGAAGCTGTTTTTGGCAAAGCAATGTGTGAAGGCAGTCGTCTTGTCGACATCCACCGGCTCATTAAAACAAAGCCAGAGGCAGGATCCATGAAGGATCGAAAGCAACAGCATAAGAAAGAGTTGGGGCGCTTTTAGTGGTTTCGTTGTAGTTGGATCTGATCAACACTCCTTGGAGATACCACTGGTTGTTATTGTCTGGACACATTACTGGACTTCCCAAATCATCCTGAAACATCATGTGTTTCACAGAGCAATTAGTGTTCCTACCATTACATAAAACAACATGTGAGGCAATATTTAATTAATCTAAATGGCATGGGTTTAACGCCGATTTGAAACATATTTCAGTTATATCAAGGAGGACGATAGAATGATTCTTACTGAGTAATGGAAAGATAAGCGTCTACTGCTACGGCCAAGGTCCGCAACTCCGGTGAGAGGCTTGTGCCGTAAGGTAAATGGTACTTAATAGAAAATGCCTGTGCCAGATATTGTTGTGCGTTAATATAAAGATCAACGGAAACTATACGAATGGATTCTCCAAAATCAGTGTTGGCACCAGTGAATGGCAGTGAATACACACAGGAGGAACACATTTATTTGTGTCCAAGTGTGTGTTGATTTCGAAAACTCGCCATGTGATTCTCGTCTTTTCTCGTAGCTACACGTATCCCCATGCCTTCACAATCATCGTGGCGAACATATGGGACAAAACATGCTAAAATCTGTTTTCTGGGCAGACAGACTAAAAACCTTCCCCTGAAACAACAGGCCAATTCTATGAATCGAAATATTCATATGAAGCAATTACCTCTGTTGTGCTGTGACCTGCTTCCATGTCCAAGCAGAGAAGATTCTCTGTCAACTGTACACCAGACACTCTGGAGATGGCACTACATGATGTTTCGTCCAGAATGGTCACACCCTGTTCTAGCGGAACAGCGGCAAATGCAAGTTCCCTATTTCCACTATCTGAAAATGCAGTAAGATTATCAAGGATAACGGTCATTTACTATACCAGTGTGCGATATAACAGACCACACATTTAATTCATTTAACACAGGCCAAAATCCTTCTGAAAAGGTGGCCTTTAGAGTGTGAGTGAGTGAGTTTGGTATTCCAGCAAAATCACGGCGGGGGACACCAGAAATGGGCTTCACACATTGTACCCATGTCGGGAATCGAACCCGGGTCTTCGGCGTGGCGAACGAACGCTTTAACCACTAGGCTACCCCATCGCCCATGTGGCCTTCCGAAACGTCTACTGAAACAAATGATATTGGCCCGTGACGTTAATCATTGTTTAGAATGATATGATGTGTCACAGTGTATTCAAATAGTTCTCTGTTCCAGGTCACTATAGCTTGAAGCACGATCATGATGCTATTAATACGTGCAATCGGGTTCTGTTGGTATACACATGTAGTAACCCTCACAAAAAGAGAGCACAAGGATAAATCGTATCTTAGTAGCTAGATGATGCCTGGCTGTAAACACATGTAATCTTGTCTGGGCCAGATAATCTAGTGATGGATATTATGTGCTACAAGGATCCACGTCGTCCTTGACCGATGACACATCCAAGTCATCAAACCTGACTGCCCCATCCAACTTACGATTAACCTAGATTGCTTCAATAACATCGAATGGCACGAGTGTTTTGAACGTTATTTTAGCATTATTCTTGCCATGTTACAACGTTGGACCACAAGGATCTTTTGAACAGAAGACAGTATATTGTACCAGTTGTACCTCAAACCTGTGGCTCTAACCATGTACCTCATGCCTTACTGAAGTGAAACATAAAATCCAATACCCACAAAAAAAAAATTACGAAGTAAAAGATTTTATTAGTCCATATGTTTTTATCTATGTCATATACGTATATATATGACTATGAAAATACATATTTTTCTCGTATCATTTGCGATGTATGCATAAGAAGGTCACTTTGCTCTGAATCTAACCTGCGCAGTCTCATACTCAGATAGTATCTTTCATTTCTGGACATAGTTTACATGCGTTTGTTTGAAGAAGAAAAAATCTAATGAGGAAGAGAAATGAAATTCCATGACATTACCTCTGCGTCCCCAGCCGACCATTTTGCAGGCACCCATGTTCAGATCAGTTGGAGTATTGGATGTGCACACTGGCCGAACGCACGACGACACGTTTACTTCGTTGGTTAGTTTCAGAATCGTCAGATCAAATTGTTCTAGATCTGTAAGACAAATGTTCCATATATTTATACACATATGTGAGGCATCATTTATTGGTGGTCCGTGAAGGTCTGGGTTAAAATTGATCTTCGTCATCCCAAGCATGTCGTAAGAAAGGACCCGTGAAGGTCCGGGTTAAGATTAACCAATGCTTGTCGTAAGAGACGACTAACGGGATCGGGTAATCAGGCTCGCTGACCGGGTTGACACATGTCATCGTATCCAAATTGCGTAGATCAATGTCCATGCTGTCACTGGATTGTCTGGACCACATCCGATTATTTACAGACCGCCGCCATATAGCTGGAATATTGCTGAGTGCGGCGTAAAACTAAACTCACTCACTCGTAAGATCATTTGGCCAGGTTCGTCATCATATCCCTATTGCGTAGATCAATGTTAATGGTACAAGTTGTGGATCTTAAGGTCCAGACTCCATTAATTACAGACCGCCGCCATACAGTTGGCATATTGGTGAATACGGTGTTACACAACTAACATATATTTCTACTCTCAATCTGTAGATAATAACATTATTATTACTTTGTTTGTTTGATTGTTTTACACACGAAAATCGTATGAGAATAATTAAACTAAAAGCTCCTACCAATATGATCTGGGTTGGGAAGATCTAGTATTTCTTTCTCCTCTTCATCACCATCCATATTTATGAAGTAGTCTCCAGAGTTGGCTTCCAGTGTTCCACCTCTGAAGAAAGCGTTTTTATAAGGCATTGTAATACACATGATAGGTAGTAGGGGTCACCCCCGTGTAATGTACCTTTCAACAACGTTTCCCTGGTAGTGTCTGTAAGGCCTAAACTAGAGCAGCTGTAGACGTGTGTCCCTTTTGAGGAACCACCCCCAACCCTGGATGGCAGGGTTATGATCTTGTCCAAAAAACCAAGAGACGTGGATCCTAGCACAACCAGGAAATGAAAGTTTGGAGTGAGTGAGTTTAGTTTTACGCCACACTCAGCAATATTCCAGCTATATGGCGGCGCTCTGTAAATAATCGAGTCCGGACCAGACAATCCAGTGATGAACAGCATGAGCATCGATCTGCGCATTTAGGACCCGATGACATGTGTCAACCAAGCCAGCGAGCTTGACCTCCCGATCCCGTTAGTCGCCTCTAACGACAAGCATGGGTTACTGAAGATTCATTCAAACCCGGACCTTCACGGGTAGAAAGTTTGGACATCGAGACAGGTTCGTCAATGCACCAGGAGACATTTCGCAACCGAAACAAATAATTTGTTGTTATGTTGCCATGTATTGCTTCAAAATATTGTAAATGTCTACAGTTTATGACAGACGACACATTGGCATCAACCGATCAAACGAATCGAATTTTACCTACTACAAAATGCGTCTTGATTAAAACCCGAGTTCACATTTATGCCAGGTAATAAAAGTGGCTATATAATGATGTCATAAGTAGTGAAAGCAGTTACTTACGGGATATCTTTGTAGATATCGAATAATCTTTTATTGACCAGGAGATGCTCTTTGGAAACAAGAACAGCGTTCATGGCGTGGAAGCTGGTAAATGCAGGTGAACTGAGCCTCACAGACACAAGCCAGGGCCAGGAGCATCGAGTTGCAGCGCCACCTCCGATTGATCTTCTTGATCTTCCAGGAACAAGGCCACAGGCGTCAGCATCTGCATATGAGCGAGCGAGTTTAGTTTTACGCCACTTTTAGCAATATTCCAGCAATATCACGGCGGGAGAAACCAGAACAGGACTTCACACATTGTACCCATGTGGGGAATCGAACCCGGGTCTTCGTCGTGACGAGTGAACGCCTTAACCACTAGTCTACCACACCAACCCCATCTGGACATGACCATACGGAAGATACGTTTACATTTTGGTATGTCCCTGATGTTGCAACGAACACGTTTATGTCATTCATCACGTGATCTAATACTGCTATTCTCATGAGTGTAAATGGAGACAAGATTCCCGGCCTTCGAGAGACACTCGAAATATTTCTTACTGGAAAACCCCAGTGTTGGTGACGCAACTGAACACCGCTCGAGTGAAACATAAATTTCAAATATTCAGATATGTTGTGAATGTGTGTGTGAAAGTATGGATTTACGTCGCTGTTTGCGCTATTCCAGGAATATCACGACAGGGGACACAGAAGTTGGTTTCAAACATTATACCCGATGTGTGGAATCGCACTGGGAATCAACCAATCCATCCATCCATCAATCCATCCATCCATCCATCAATCGAAACTGAATAAATCCAACAAACTACGGCTACATGTTCAGTATTAACAAAGCCAGAGTATGCCCTCACCAGGAGTAGTTTGGTCGCTTGGGTCGACAACCGGCTGCTCAGAAGGAACTCCACAACAGCTGAATCCTTCCTCACAGAAAAGTACCGAGTCTAATTCCTGCACATGTGGTGTAGACCCAGGCGGGCAGGAGGTGAGGCATTGTGAGTCAGCGTGGAACACCCGGCACCAGTCTGAAAGTGACGGAACCTGATTTAATCAATATCCATGTACATGTACTTACACAACGTGAAATGTGAAGGGTCGACCATCTGTTCAATGGAAATATTTTGTCTATTTCTATGTGGACAATGAAGGGCAACATATGTATGAATACAAAAATACCCTAAAATAACGCCAACGCCACGACCCCCCCCCCCCCCTCCCCACACACACACACACACTCCTTCCGAATAAAATAAGCAAACAAACAAAACACCTAAACACCTAGTTGCAGCTTGTTTCTCTAGACGTTGCCTGTATATTTGACAGACAGACAGACAATACTTTATTACCTTAAAAAGGAATTCGTTTTGGATCACAGACCTTGACAAAAATACAAATGAATAACAACATAAAGTATGACATTACTAAAAACATAAAAAGAGATAAATATGTGCTTAAATATTATTAAATGAATAAGATGATAACTGGACATTCAACATTTGTTTAAACTTGCAATACTTTGAGGTACAAAAGACGTTCGAGCTCGTTTAGTCTTATATGTTATTTCCGCTATCTGGTTTACATTTGGTATGATTCAGGTGTGTTAAAATGATATATTTGTTTATTAGATAACTTTCTCAATCATTATGTCTTGTGAGAAGCAACTTCTTGATGGGATTTCAAGTTCTGTGACCTTGCTTTATTGGGTGTCGTAGTAACCTTTGCTCAGAATTTGCAAACCATGACGAGTTCTCACAAGGATCTTCACATGTACAAACTATTTCTAGATCTATTTAATTGTTAATCTAGTTATCTATCATACATGTGTCTCCGGCGGAACCTTATCCCTACCGTATGTAAACACAACAATCGCCTAAACTTCTCTTGCCGTACATTGTGGGAAAATGCAAACTTAACATGGTGTTAGTTTGAATTAAAGAACACAATAAACCGCAAGCGAAATTAAATGGTTGTACAGATATAAACTCGATATAAACTATGATATTTTTCGGTCTGGTACGACAAATTATACTCACTGAAGGCAGCACTTGCAGCAGAGACCAAACCAACAAACAACACAAGGTTGCGAAGGGCCATCTTTGCCGGTTTGCGCTGATGGAGAGTTACACCTTCTTATATAACACTGCCAACACGTACATTTACTTGCGACAATTTCAAAGGACAGTTTTACTTATCAAAACCACGGAAAGGCTGGCATCAGCCACAGCTGCACACAAAGACCGGATCTGGATTATCTCAGAACTCAACTCTGATGAAGTAACAATCTGCTGTACCAGCCGTCAACCTTTTTGTTTCCCCCAATAGGCGAGGCTTTCACAGACTGGTGCAAAAAGAAATTTTGACATGCGTCCGTATATATCATAGCAAGCTTAGTCTAGCAAGTATTGTCACCTTTTGATTCAGTCATAGATGAGTCAGTTTTGACAAGGTATATATTTGGTTGATGAAACTGTCAAACGTCTATTGTTGGAGCTTGCTGTCAAGTTTTGAACATGCATCTGCTTCGAGTGATAGTGTCGGTGTGCGTCATCTGCAGTGGAGTTCGGGCCGCTGGTAAGTGAAACGGTCCTGTTTCTGTAGATCTCAGGGCAAAGGTGTCCTAATTGTCTTTGATGCCCCACGTCCGTCAGCAGTTTGGCGAATCTTATGTTCCTGGTTTGAATCCCGTTTCCCCCCTGAATATGTTTCTGTTTGTTTATCGTTGATTAACGACACACTCTTGAAAAGGTCAATATCCGTAAAGATCCGGGTTAGAATTTATCTTCAGCTACCCATGCTTGTCGTAAGAGGCGACTAACGGATCGGATGGTCAGACAGGCTGACTAGGTTGACACATGTCATCGAATCCCAACTGCGTAGAACCATGCTCATATTGTTGATCACTGGATTGTCTGGTCCAGACTCGATTATTTACAGACCGCCCCTATATAGCTGGAATATTGCTGAGTGCGGCAACAACAACAAACCATTTTCTTTATTATTATTGCTATCATTGTCGAGGCATTTTTTGTAGAGATTTGCAGCGCGCTGTACCCAAGATCTACCTGCCAGCCAGAATGTCCACAGCCATCTGTTACAGAGGCTCAGGGGGCGCCATACTGCTACTCTGGGATGTTCTGCTGTGAGACGGTAACAACACCAACACCTTCACCAACAACCACACCTCCACCGACAACAACAACAACTCCACCATCAAGAGGTGACTCCCTCCAGTGTTGATCTTCATGTTACTCAACAAGTACTCTGTGATAACAGTTTAATAGCTTAACTATCAAGAAATAGTCATTAATGGCAAAATGTGTCTTCCATACTGTCTTTACGGAGTATTGAAATATTCAGTGATTTCGTACTTCAGGTACTGTATATATTTGGTATGACATACCAGTTAGCTAAAGTGTATATTCTCTATGTTAGCAGTTGAACATTGCTGGACAAAAAAACGTTAACATTCATGTTTGATTTTCGGTTGAATTGAAACAAAACACCGATGATGGTGTAGTTGTAACGTTTGGAACTGTGTTTGCTCTGAAACTTTCAAGTGTAAACATTCTTTGTGTATCAGTTAATTTGAAATTCTTATATTCGCTGCCAACACATAAATTCACTTGCAACATGTTTAAAGTGCATTTTGCTTATCATAGATAGAGTTAGGCTTCCTGCCTACCTACCTACCTACCTACCTACCCACCTACCTACCCACCTACCCACCTACCTACCTACCTACCTACCTACCTACCTACCTACCTACCTACCTACCTACCCACCTACCTACCTACTCACCTACCTACCTACCTACCCACCTACCTACAAACCTACAATGTTCTTATTTATCTGTTCATCCCTCGTGTGTGAGTCGTCCGTAATTCAGGTAAAACATTTTCGTGTGTGAGTCTTCCGTAATTCAGGTAAAACATTTTCGTGTGTGAGTCTTCCGTTTTTCAGGTAAAACATTTTCGTGTGAGTCGTCCGTAATTCAGGTAAAACCGTATAATATTGCAATTGTTCGTTTGCAGTCTGTGGATTCGATGCCTTACCTGTGACTCCAAGGATTATGAATTCCAATCCATTCAATCTTAATGATTTCTCCTGTGCATGGCCTTGGATGGTCCACGTACTGTATGACCTTCAGGACGGAGAAGGCATTCAGCCCTTGTGCAGTGGGGTCCTCGTCTCCAAACAGCAGTTCATTACATTAAAATCTTTTGTGGAGCCATTGTAAGTATTTAAGGTAATACCGACAAAGGGAATGATTCACGTCACTTTCATTTGTATAGAGTTCCCTATGACAGAGATTTCTGTTGCAAAGATTCTCATTGTTTAATTTCTCCCTACGTAGCCCGAAGCACACTGATTATTTTGTGCAACATGTCCTGGTTCACAACACCGTAGAATGCGGGAGTGTCTCGTTTGTACAAACCCGTGCAATGTCACTGGTGGCACACAGACTTACTGTTGCTGTTTGACATTACTATTTAGCTAATTTATTGCAAATTCAATTGTTCTTTATACAAAACAAACGGAAGCAACACTATCGAGACTGACCAGTATCAGTCAGTTTGGAGCAATACGCTATGTTGTGGTGTGTGGTGAGAGACAGAGAGAGAGGGCGGGGAGAAACCTTAACACAATCATGGTCATTGGAGTGACTTGACAAAAACACAAAAGAGTGACAAACGTTTAGGCATATCTGGTACTTTCATTGGGGTTTGATGTTAACCATATTCCAGCAATATCGAGCGAGACGGGGGACACCACAGATGGGCTTCACAAATTGTTCCAATATTAGGAATCAACAGGGGTCTTCAGCGTAACGAACGGATGCCTCTGGGATTAGGCTACCCGACAGCCCGTGGGAGGTTGTAAATCGCCAAGTGCGCCATTGAAACCGATGAAAGCAATACGTACTCCTTGCAGAATTTGGCTACCACGCCCTTGTCAAACACATTTCAGTGCAATATTGGTTAGGTTGAATCAATAGAAAAAGGGGCACGTCTACACTATACTATGATTTTGTCGCAGAACTGGTCAAAACTTTCAACTGTATGCCGCAGTTGGAATTTGTAACATCACTGGTCTTCAGACAGAAGAAGTATTCCCACCAGGCACATTGAAGAACGTGTCCACGGATATCAGCTCTTTCGACGCTGGTAAGTGATTAACCATTGATTATTTAAAAACTAACTCTATATCTTCAATGTGGAAGCATCTCGTAGCAATGCCTTCTGTTTAAACCACTTGTATTTGAACGATCCGTAAATCACATTCAAATGCAATATCAAGGTCGAATCAATATGAGATGTTCATTGACAAACATTTCTGTTCAGTTATTACATGAAACTTGCACAATTGTTTTATCAAAGTCATTAGTCAAGTCAAATTTCTCAGAAATTTTAAGGATGCATGAGGCATTTTGGAGTAAAAGTGAGCAAACCACATATCCTAGGGTAGTGTTTCGTGCTGAATACGAATATGTTGTTTGCTAAGCTCAGTATGCCTAATTAGGTCACAAATTGGGGGCAAACGTCAATGAGTGCAAAATTCAATATTTTTACAAAGTGTCTTATTTATCATTCTCTATCCAAACAATGAACTCATTTTAAAATCTATTGAATAATAATGTTACCACAGGATTTCAAAATGTTGGATTTCAAGGAAATGCTGAAGGAAAAGTTTTGTATTTTTGCAAATATCTCCCTTACAGAGCGACTTTTATTTTTGTGTGAAGAGCTACACTTTACAGGCACTTTTTGCTTAAAAATGCACAGCAAGGCTGAATCTTTTCCTTTTGTTGACAAAATTATATTCCATGCAAACTGTTTAGATCACCAAATTTGCATATTAAGCGCATAATGACTTCAAAGGTCAATGAGTGCGATATGATACGCTAGGCGTTTTTACATGTATGCCATACGAATGCTTTTATACTGCTACACATGCACGTCAAATACAACTGCTTTCATTCATGCAGTGAGTTTGATGAATATTTTACAACATAATTACCCACGTAACAGTTTCAGTTACATTTACTTTCCCTAATGTGTGTATGCTGAATAACAGAGTTTGTGCCATGTTAGATTAGGGTTGCTGTCAAAAGGTTCTTCAAAGAGGGATAAACGCCTGTCTACAGCTGACCGAACTTCGCAATGTCTCAACATGTGCCTTAGTTGGGTGGCCTCAAAGATGGAAGAGATGCCCATTTCTGTCTGGTTGTAGAGGGTATCTTTAGACCGACTAGTTGCCTGACATATGATACAAAGCTCAAATTACAAATCTTGGCCAGCGCTACGTATATACTGCCACTGATCGCCTCAACTGTTACACACACACTACTCCTTTTAAATAAAAAAAGTACAAGCAGTGTATCAACTGACAAAATCCTCTGGCACAAAGATTCTTAAAATAAAATATGTGATACCAAAGTCTTTCAGTACACACTCGATCCTTCAGTCATGGCACATGACTTCCACTTTCGCCTTCATCTTCATATTATCTATTTAATACACTATCGGATAGGGTTCCTACCTGTTCCTGTGATTTCCTGACCTATTACGTGGGTAATGATGTTGTAAAATCATCAATCAAACTCACTGCATGAATGAAAACAGTTTCATTTGACGTGCATGTGAAGCAGTATAAAAGTATTCGTATGGCATACATGTAAAAACGCCTAGCGCATCCTGTCGCACTCATTGACCTTTGAAGTAATTATGCTTTTAAAATGCAAATTTGGTGATCTAAACAGTTTGCCTGAAATATAATTCTGTCAACAAAAGGAAAAGATTCAGCCTTGCTTTGCATTTTTTAGCAAAAAAGTGCCTGTAAAATGTAGCTCTTCACGCAAAACCTAAAAGTAAGGGAGATATTTGCAAAAATATATAATTTTTCCTTCAGCATTTCCTTGAAATCCAACATTTTGAAATCCTGTGGTAATATTATTATTCAGTATATTTTACAATGAGTTCATTGTTTGGATAGAGAATGATAAATAAAACACTTTTTGAAAAAATTGAATTTTGCACTTATTAACCTTTGCCCCCAATTTGTGACCTAATCAGGCATTTTTGAGCTTAGCAAACAACATATTCGAATTCAGCATGGAAAACTACCAAAGAAGATGAGGTTTGCTTACATTTACTCAAAAACGCCTCATGCATTCACATTCTGAGAAATTTGACTAGTCTAATCTGACGTGAATATGACTTGGAGTGACCGTTATTTAGCTCCAAAACGGAAATGCTTCCCCCGAGAATCAGTTTTACCATAAATGGTTTTACAGAGAGTGGTAAAGACTCTGAATAATAAGGATGAGGATGTTATTGCTACCCTGATATGTACAACTGATGTTCAGGGAATCTGGATCTTGTCGTGGCTACACTTGAAGAAGAAGTCGGAGACTACAGTATCAACGTGCTTCCTGCTTGTTTGCCAGATGGAAGGACAGTAATCAATGGAGACCAATGTTTCATGGCCGGATCTGCAAATGGTAAATATTCCTAACTAAAACGTTGGGACTATATCTCACTAACTGCTTGCTCAATACCAAACAAAACTATTTTGAAATCAATTTCAAATATCTCCCCCAACCCCTCCCCATTCCAAATCTCATGGGGTAATGTGATAGGCTTGTGGTTAAAGCGTTCATGCCGAGGACCCGGATTCGATTCCCCACATGGCTACAATATGTGAAGCCCATTTCTGGTGTCCCCAGCCGTGGTATTGCTGGAATATTGCTAAAAGCGGCATAAAAGTAAACTCTCTCACTCACTAACTTAGCGCTAAGATAGCTTTGTGGAATGGGGATCAGATCCCTCTGACGAAAGAACTTATTCAAGCATACCCTTTGCTACTATACTGGACAAAAATAGCTAGGGATATATGTACATTTTGAAATTATGAATATTGATCTATTTATTCATTGAAACACTGACAAAATATCAATAATAAAATACAAATATCCCTAACTTATTTTGTCCAGTATATTTCAATCATTACGCATCAAGATATGTACACGAAAAAGCATCGTACTTTGTACCCATGTTGGTAATCGAAAAGGGTGATATGCGTGCAGTTCTCCATAGACACATTTAGCCTCCGACAGGTTAAAGGAGAATTGAGCGTCCACAGTAAACCCTCCTTAATCCGGACTCAATCTGGGCAATTGCTGTCAGGGTTTCACTTCAGATGAGATATGCTGATTATTATATATAATGAGTGTGTGAGTGAGTGAGAGTATAGTTTTACGCCGCACTCAGCAACATTCCAGCTTATGGCGGCTTTTTCCCCCCGAAATATGATGTTATTCAATGTTTTGGTACACTAAACGCTCATTCTCAATAGTCCAGATTTTTTGTACCGAACACCTTACAATCAGAAAGATGTTCAGCATGTTTACATATTGATGGAATACGTCAGAAAGTGGCGTCAAAGCATACTCATTCTACCATTAACCTACTCCTTAATATGTACAAAGGACACTAACTTGAAATGATTCCTGTATTCAGAAATTCGTAACTAAATGGATAATTTTACTCTATATTTCTTGTCTCAGGTGAGATCGGTGCCGGGCGCGTTAGAGTGTTAGATCCAGCAGTTTGTACAGCGTTCAATAACATCCTCATCAACAACGAGCAGCAGCCTAGAGGAACCTTCTGTACCAACGTGTTTTCTGATAATGTCGACGCATGTGACGTAAGGCGTTTAAAATCCAGTAGTAGAAAAAATAAACTTCCGTCAATTTTAAATTATATGGTCAGATTTATAATTTGAATATATTTTAATTTTTTATTCTGATAATGTCGACGCATGTGACGTAAGGATCTGAAAATCAAGTTATAGAAAAAATACACTTCCGTCAATTTTAACTTATATGGTCCCAATTATGTTTTGTTTTTTGAATCTTTGAATTTGAATTTGAATTTTTTAAATTCAAAACCATATAATCGATAACACAAGCATGTAATTACAGGTTATTTTTTCTTTGATGGTAAGTCACAAGCCTTATTGTCGTTCACTCGTGATAATTAATCGACAGTGGAATTAGGAGATAAGCCTACGCTGTTTTGAAATTAGAGGTAGTATAACGGAAATATTATAGCACTAAATTTAATTTGAAACCGAACGCGAATTATTGGCAGTCTCTTGCTTAATCTATTTTGACATATCAAAGAATCAACCTAAACATATTTTAATTTCTTGCTGAATTGTTATTCGGAAAGCAGACGATGTTCGACTGAATATGTGTTTCTGTGCTTGTGAAGTATTTTTGTATGTATTAACACCTATTTCTGTAAGGAGTGAGTCGAACACGTCATCACTAAACCCATCTTTAAAGACGTATGTCTAATTTCAGACAGAAAAATCTCCCTAATCTATCGATGTATCGATAGCTAGTTTGTTTGGTGTCCGCCATGTTGGCGGGCAGACGGAAATAGTGCATTATTGTAAACCATGTATAATTGCGCACTGAAATTCAGAAACCTGTATAACGTGATTATATACCTCTGAATGACCTTAAATAACCAATCGCAATCCAGTATTTACTGAAGCCATGGTAGAATGTTCATTAATCACTGCTCCCATTACGTTTGTTACAGGGGGATGAAGGTGGTATGGTGATATGTCAGGATAATGAGAACCGCTGGGTCCTGAAGGGGATCATACAGGAGGGTACATGCCTCGGAGCCAGGAATGGCGCCAATGTCATCATTGATATTGAACAAATCGGCAGCGACCTGATCAGCAACGTATTTCCAACACCGCAGTAACACGTGCAGGTTCCCAGCAGAGATGAATACACGTCCATATGCTCAACTCGCCTTTGTATTGCGGTTTTTGTTTTACTGAAATGTAACCTGGGTCAAATTTAATAATTGATCAATTGTCCTTAATAAAGCTTTGGCTTAGAATATAACATATGAGGTGTTTGTATTTCTGTTCCTTGAAATAGATTATTTGGTAAATGGATCGAAGTTAGATGTATATGTCTTGGTGATTTATTTTTATGTTTTAATGAACTTTACATCTAAACGGTGGTTGTATGGTTCTTAAATTACTAGAACATGCATTTTCCTGTGCTTTTGTCCAACTCGTTCGAGAACTATGCCGTAGTGTATTGAATCGTTCATGCACGAAGATGGTTAAATGAGCACTTAGCTTCCAAAAAAGGAGATGCATCTTCAACTATTGTCAAAATCGGAGTTTAGATAAGTTCATCCTGACAGTTGAGAACACCCAACTCAGTCTATCTCGACAGATGAGTACATCCTATTCAGTCTCTCTCGTGCCATGAGTACACACTACTCAGTCTATTTTGACACGTGAGTACACTCTACTCAGTCTATCTCGACTCATGAGTACACCCTTCTCAGTCTATCTCGAGCCACAAGTACACCCTACTCCGTCTTCTTCGACACATGAGTACACCCTACTCAGTATATCTTGGCTCGTGAGTACACCCTACTCAGTCTATCTTGGCTCGTGAGTACACCCTACTCAGTCTATCTTGGCTCGTGAGTACACCCTACTCAGTCTATCTTGGCTCGTGAGTACACCCTACTCAGTCTATCTTGGCTCGTGAGTACACCCTACTCAGTCTATCTTGGCTCGTGAGTACACCCTACTCAGCCTATCTTGGCTCGTGAGTACATCCTACTCAGCCTATCTTGGCTCGTGAGTACACCCTACTCAGTCTATCTTGGCTCGTGAGTACACAGTCTATCTTGGCTCGTGAGTACATCCTACTCAGTCTATCTTGGCTCGTGAGTACATCCTACTCAGTCTATCTTGGCTCGTGAGTACACCCTACTCAGTCTATCTTGGCTCGTGAGTACACCCTACTCAGTCTATCTTGGCTCGTGAGTACATCCTACTCAGTCTATCTTGGCTCGTGAGTACATCCTACTCAGTCTATCTTGGCTCGTGAGTACACCCTACTCAGCCTATCTTGGCTCGTGAGTACACCCTACTCAGTTCTTCTTGGCTCGTGAGTACACCCTACTCAGTAGACACTCTAGTATACACTATCTGAGTCTATTTAGCGTGATTGTTGGCACTTATTCAGTCGTTTGTAGCCGCAACAAGACAGTGTACATTGCCACATCTCATTCTCTGTCCGAGTAAACATTGTTGTCTGCCATATCCCTGTCCTGCCAGGCCTTAATACACATATAAGGCTATCCCTGGTCCAGATACGGCTAATTACAAAGATTTTGTTATTAACTGGTTTTCTGATTTGTATACACTGATCCTTCTGTGTGTTCGACTGAATATTTGTTTCTGTGCTTGTTAAATATTTTTGTTGTATTAACACCTATTTCTGTGATTTACGCAAGTAATGAGTCGAACCCATCTTATCTAAACCCATCTATAAAGACGTATGTGTAATTTCCGACTGCAAAATCGCCTAGATCTATCGATATATAGGTAGTTAAATGGGACGTGGCGTGATAGAAATGGATTTATACATTGAAACATATATATAACATTTCCTTGACATTAATCAATTGCAATCATGAAAAAACGGAGATTTTGAAATATATCCCCATACTATTGATACAATTGCTTGCCAGTGCAAATAAACAATTTATGAGTAGAAATATATGTTTTGGTAATTTGATCTTTAAACCAGGTAATAACAAAGAGGCCCATATAGACATGTGTAATCGCTCATCAAACAGACAAACGACTAACACTGTTATGGGTATCTACATAAGAGTACACATACGTGAAAATGTTACATCTCGGTCCTCCCAAGACGTCTTCAGTCATTAACAATTAGATCCTAAATGGTGAATCACTTCTAGGTACATCCACTCGTGAAGATCCGGGTTAGAATTGATCTTCAGCAACCCATGTTTGTCGTAAGAAGCGACTAACGGGATCGGGTGATCAGGCGCACTGAATTGGTTGACACATGTCGTCGTATCCCAATTGCGTAGATCGATGCTCATGCTGTTGATCACTGGATTGTCTGGTCCAGACTCGATTATTTACAGACCGCCGCCATATAGCTGAAATATTGCTGAGTGCGGCGCAAACCTAAACTCACTCACTCACTCTTGATACATCCAGGAAAAGTATATTAAAGGTAGGTACATTATGTATTAACGCCTCCGTGGTGTAGTGGTTAGAGCGTCCGCCCGGAGAGCGGAAGGTCGCGGGTTCGATCCCCGACCGCGTCATACCAAAAGACGTTCAAATATGGTACTTGTTGGTCCCTGCCTGGCGCTCGGCATTAATGGGTACAACAAGGACTGGTCGGCTCGGAGTCAGTATAATGTGTCTGAGTGAGGTATTCATGCTTCACTGCGGCATGGTATCTCAGTGGGCTAGCACTATAAAACCAGCTTAAGTCTGGGCTAGTACAAGCAGCCGCACATACACATACACACGCATGCACGTCGTCATATGAGCGAAATATTCTCAAGCACGACGTTAAACCCAATTTCACCTCACCTCACATTATGTATTTGCTATTTTAATTTTGTTCAACGGGACCCTTTTATTGGAAACTGTTCCAGCAACGTGTGACTGTCACAAACAGTGAAACATAGTCGCATAAACAGTTGAAACTGAATTTGGTTGGTTCGTTGTTTAACACTGAACTCAGCAACTGAATACAACTGACACATATTCACTTATAAATGTCAAGGGTTTTAATTTACACATGTGCATACGAAGCATTTCAATCTAAATGTGAGGAATCGTACATACATGTACTGGCTGTATTGGAGAAGGTCATTGACCATATCCAGAGATTGTTTTGTGTGTTTCTGAAAACGTACACAAAAGAAACAAATAAAAGGAAACAAAAGAATTTATGAGTAAAAGTTCAATATTGAAACATCTTTCGTCATTGATTACAATTACAAACTGTCCGTAATTCCGCTGAAAGACTTTGAAGATGCTGGGGGCTGAGGATATCCTCGGTGTGTTTACAAGGTGGCGGTACACGTGTCCCAAACCCAGTTAACAACATTAGGAACGTCCGATACGAGAATGGTGCTGCTCTCACACGGGATACGAGTGGTCATCACACCTTGCAGGGTGGTTCTGTAATTGTTGGTGGGGTCATCACAGGCAAATGGTCCCCCGTAGTCACCCTGGAACAACAGGAGGATACAGGTGTCGGTCATAAACGTCAGTGAGTGAGTGAGTTTTAGTTTTACGTCGCTTTTAGCAATATTCCAGCAATATGACGGCGGATGGCACCAGGTATGGGCTTCACACATAGTACCCATGGGGTAATCGAACCCGTTTCTTCGGCGTGACGAGCGAACGCTTTAACCACTAGGCCACTCCACTGCCCCTAGAGTCTGAACAAATTGTTATGGCCTATAGGTTATCTATAAACGGTAAATAAGCTCACCCCGCCGTGATATTGCTGGAATATTGCTAAAAGCGACGGAAAACCATACTCACTCACTCATATAAGCTCAGAGGTTTATATATTTAAGAAATCTCGTTAATGTTAATATTTATTTTCAACACCGGCTACCTTTTCCCCAAAATCCTCGTCATACAATATGCCATTGGCCGTAAGTACTTACTGCCCATTTCTGGTGTACCCGCCGTGATATTGCTGGGATATTCCTTAAAGCGGCATAAAACAAAACTCATTCACTCATTAAGTAACTACTGGTACAGATACATACTTGTTCAATTATTTGATTTCCTGTAGTTTGCTCTACATGTAAAATAATTACAAATACGACTTATGCTCCAAAATGAAGTGAAACATATTGCTTAATTAACGGTTAATCACTATGCATAATTCTGCACATAATTGTGAAACAAAAACAACGAATTTAAAATCCTTCCTCCCTGCTGATTTAGATTTTTTAAAAAACAAATTATGAGTACTACTTACACCTTGTGCGAAACTAAAAGAATTGAGGTTTGATCAAAGCAAAATGTAAAAAGCCCATTGGCTTCCGCGTTTTGCTTTCCTTACAGCTTGTTCAGCTTGACCTGAGCTATTCCGCATATGCAAGATCCCGGAGGTCAAATGGCACAAACGGCAGATGTGGTTATCTTCATTAAATAGGGGTGCAGAGAATGTTATTAATGTGAAGCATGCATACACAGATTCGTTACAGAACTTGTCCCGGAAAACAACACTTCTGAAAAAACCCAATCATTTCATGTTTTGATTGAATTGTTTATACAGTCATGTGCTATCTAGTTTGGTTTGCTAACTTTACAACTTACAGCGTCAGTTACTTTCACAATCCTTTCACTCTCGCTATCACTATCTACATCCAGTTCAATTATCATTTTTGTATTTCATGTTCAACTGCAATATTTCTGTCCCAGGAGTCGCTTTCCAAATTTTCAACATGGGCACAACAATCAGTCCACTCGTTTACACCAATCATCTGACAAAGGTGCACCCCTTCACAATAATAGACCCAACCAGTTGTGACACGGTCACACAATTCATTAGTATTCACTTGATCAGGTCAAGCTGAACAAGCTGTAGTATGTTCCCATGAAAATAGTATGTTGCATATTTTTAATACTGTTGACCATGTTAAGCCGTTTCTGAACGGATGATATTGCCGTAACAATACTTACTCAGCGTCATGGTATTTTTATGTGCCCTATCCTTTTTCAGCTGAGTAATTGACTTAGCTTTGCATGTGTTTGTGACAGTTGCCACCTTTGGGGCAGGATTACGCGGTTGCATCGCTATTTGATCCTGATTCATAAACCCGTTCTCATTTGTTAGTCGAAATCGTACAAGCTTCTTGCCATATATCAGATATTTCTAATGATTATGGCGAGTGAGTGAGTATGGGTTTACGCCGCTTTTAGCAATATTCCAGCAATATCACGGCGGGGAACTCCAAAATTGGCTTCACACATTGTACCCATGTGGGGAATGGAACCTGGTTGACGCATGTCATCGTATCCCAATTGCGTAGATCGATGCTCATGATGTTGATCACTGGATTGTCTGGTCCTGACTCGATTATTTACAGACCGCCACCATATAGCTGGGGTATTGCTGAGTGCAGCGTAAAACTTAACTCACTCACTCACTCACTCACTATGATAATGGAAATGGTTTTGTTGCCCTTCAAAATATGCAGTTCCCGTTCAAGGAAAATTGAATACGTTTGAGGAATGAAAGGGACACGTCATGTAGTAAGCATGACGACTAACTGAATTAGGTAATGAATCTTTCTTACCACGCAAGAGTATGTAGTAGCTATGTTTTGGGCACATTTGGTGTTGCTAGGGAACGATGCGTTGGAAGCTGTGGTGTAATAGGCAATCGCTTCACATGCAGCTTTGCTGAATGAGTTTAGATAGGCGACTTGAAGAAGGTCCTTCAGTCCTGAAATTAGACAAATGACATTAGGTTTTCCTAAAATAAATGAGTAATTTGTGTAAATTTTGAAAGTGTGTTGTCATTATATTTTACAGATTAAAAATAGTAAGCAGCAGAGAGGGTTCGGGTGATCCTGGCACAGTCAGGCTGGTCAGGCTCATCATCAGCTCAGGGCCCTTGTCCGCTCTACACGCAGCCCAGACAGCGAATGGGACTTCTCCCAGGAAACGCTGCCTAGTCGAATCCACCAAGAACTTTCCGAAGAATATGTAGACTCCCCAACACTGTAGCCTTCTGCATTACCCAGAGTGTCAGAAGGACTGTACTCCCGGTGGAGAACCCGGGCACTCTCCTGATCTGGAGGTACCAGGAGATCAGGAGGTACCAAACCAAAGGCACCGATAACAATAGGGAGTCTGACGACTTGGGATGCAAGCGAGACATTTAAAAGGCGAGGTCTGCATATTATTGTTGTTGTTGTTGTTGTTGTTTGGCAATGTGACTCACTTTCGTCTTCCGTTATTCCCCATCCAGTAACTCGGCAGGACTCAATTTGGCTGCATACATTTGATCTCGGTAGACATATTGGCCTCACCCAATCATTGTACGTGACTGATTCAGTTAACTCAATCATACAGAAGGAGTTGGCTGCAAATACAACAATAGTGAGATTTGAACAAAAACGCAAACAATACAATAGTGCAAATAGAACAATACTACAAAAAGAACATTTATTTACTATAAACCGTACAAATAAGACATTAGTAAACATAGATAAATTGTGCAAATAGAACTATAGAACAATAGTGCAATAGAACAATAGTACAAATAGAACATTACTATTAATAGTGCACATAAGTTATTAGTAAACATAAATAAATGGTACAAATAGAACAATAGTGCAAATATATAAATTGCACAAAGAGATAATAGTAAAAAGAGAACATGAGTAGAAATAAATAAAAAGGACGACGAAATATAGATTGCAAATAGAACAATTGTGCAGATAGAATATCAGTGAAAGTATGACTAATAACAAAATGCAGTATCAAAACTAAATGTGTCACGAGTCATTTAAGGACATTGGATGCTAACTCTACTCTATTGACGAATTTACAAGGCCAACACGTCTCTGCGGATCAATATCCGAAAACAAAACAAAACGAGGTCAATAAAAAATGTGCATACTATTTTTACCCCCTTTGAAAACCAAAGTAATAAGATTCTTGACAGAATATGAATCCTGTAAATGATGAGCATAAACTATAAACATCTCTCATGTTCGCACTAATAGATATTTCTAAAATTTCGATACGTTTCCAGATCAATTGCAGAAGAAGTACCTTGAAAAGGATCCTGGTTGTTCGTGGCGCTGTAGTCGATCAAAACGTCTCCGAACGTTGACGTGACGTTGTATTTGTAGGATGGATGAAAATACACGTTCTTCACTTGACGGATCTGTTCCTGCTGAACGTTATTGTAGACTTCGGGAGCTGCGATGTTGTATTCACCCAAAACAACAATCATTCTATCTTGATATGTTTCGTCTACGTCACGTCTTCCTACACTGAAAACAGAAGTAGATTTCACCTAAACAGGATGGATATATTTCCAGACCCTATATAAACACTTTGGTACAAGTATTACAGTTTGTATCCGAATGTATTCATTCACATAGTTTCAGTGGTAATTGGTACAGACAGAAATTGACAAGACATGTGTCATCTCTTTTCAAAGATCAGTTGATGTGTTTCACCGCTGTTTTGTATTTTAGATCAACTGGATTTTGTTTCGACAAATAATCAAGAGGTTCTTCTCGCTCGTATTTTGAACCTTTCATCTTTGGCCACTCCTACTGCGCAGATATATTACAACGATACCTTGCTGGATGTTTCGGCAGATAGGCCAGAGGTAATTCTTTTGTATTTGTGACCATCGATTCTAAAACTCCAGTTGTAAAACATTGGCAACTCCTACTGCACAGATATTACAACGATATCTTGCTGGATGTTTCGGCAGATAGTCCACGGGTTCTTTTGTATTTGTGACCATTAATTCTCAAACTCCACCTGTCAAACCTTTGGCAACTCCTACTGCGCAGAAATTACAACGATATCTTGCTGGATGTTTCGGCAGATAATCCAGGGGTTTCTCTCGCTGACGTTTTCTATTTTTGACCATTGATTTCCAAACTCCAGTGGTCAAACCTACTGCGAAGATACCACAACGATACTTTGCTGGATGTTCAAGTGTCCAAGGTCATCGGTGAGTCCAGCATGTAACACCGTTATATTTCCTATAACATCGTTGTGCACATGAAATTTAGCCACGTGTAGCTTAAAGGAATTCCAGGTTTGCAAAAAATATGCTTCAAAAGAATTTCCATTAAGAAAACTTCATGAAAGTACCTTAAACTAAAACAGAGTTGCGTTATATGAATATGTTCCTCTGGTGACTTGGTTGTGACTGGTACCAGCGATCAGGCAACATAAGCTAACCTTTTTGAGAATATCTTGAAGCCTCCAACTGGCAGTGATTCATAAGTACATGGTTAAAGTTGGAATAGCACAACACAACAACTTTCAGAAGATATTTTATTGATTATGGTAAGAGTTTTATCGTTTTTATTCATTGGTTGAATGGAATTGTACAACGTCAACATACAAAGAAGAAACCGTTTCTGAAACGTATATGTTATTATGACATTCTGATGCAGTCAGTATACGTGTCAAACATCTAATTTATGGGAATTTTAGTAACAAAATGGTACTATGTCAAAGTCCATTAATACGATTGTCTTTTAAAAGCCTACTTCTCTGATGGTGTTATGCATGGACACTTACATACCTCAAAGTAAGGCTTGCAAATATGTTTGTTTGTTTGTTTATTTATTGATTTGTTTGTTAAACGCAGCACTGGGCAATGTTCCAGCTATAAGACGGCGATCTGTTAATAATCAAGTCTGGGCCAGACAATCCAGTGATCTTTGCAATTTGGGAAACGAGGTCATGTGTCAACCAACTCAGCGAGCCCTACCACCCAATCCCGTTAGTCGCCTCTTACGACAAGCATGGGTTGGTGAAGACCAATTCTAACCCAGATCTTCACGAGTGGTGAGATTTAGAACCGAGTGTATGTTGTATAACGCCGCACTATATTCCAGCTCTGTCACAACCTGAACCAGACAATCCACTGATTGATCAAGTCTTAGAAAGAACGACTTGTTTATCATGTTGTATAATGTAACCTTTTAATAAGTTAATAAGTGTAAATTGTACAAACGTGTTTCAACGATAATGTATGCATACCTCATAAGTGCTGCACAGTCCGTGAGAACCCAGTTCTTTTGGAAAAGAACTCCGCCAGCGCTATGAAGTGAATTAGCCAGGGTTTTGGGAAGATTGGGACCATTCATGCGTCGAAGTGATGCCTGCCAGGGGGCTTGCTTTGGTTTGTCGTCCGCAGAAAACGCTAATCGAGCAGTAGGTCCCCATACACCACAGTTGTCCTCGTTCGCACAACTGGCCACCGCTATGAAGAAAGTGAGTGAGTTTAGTTTACGCCGCTGTTAGCAATATTCCAGCAATTTCAAGTCGGGGGACACCAGAAATGGGTTTCAGACATTGTACCCATGTGGGGAATCGAACCCGGGTCTTCGGTGTGACGTTTACCAACTATAGATCCATCGTAAAAATATTTTGCAATAAGCTATAATAAGTCATTTGTATGAAATACATTTACATAATTATGCAAAACTATGAAAATGTGTAAGAACAATAAGAAAATATGAAAAATAGATCTCGAAAAAGTTGTTGTTGTTGTTGTTGCTACTGAAACAGACCTCGGACATAAATATTTGCTGATTGTGAATGATTGCAACCGGTAAAGATACTGCCATTACAGAATAAGTCCTCAATCATTAAAAGTTGCGCTCTTGTTCATACAATACTGACTGACTGACTGACTGAGTTTGGTTTTACGCCGCTTTTAGCAATATTCCAGCAAGATCACGGAGGGGGACACCAGAAATGGGGTTCACACATTGTACCCATGTGGGGATTCGAACCCGGGTCTTCGGCGTGACGAGCCAACGCTTTAACCACTAGGCTACCCCACCGCCCCTGTTAATACAATACTTGTATTTATTCAATATCACTCTCAAAATATAGCGACTCGTGCTATATCGTGGGTATTTTGGACAGGGTATACGCACAAACGAGCATACATGTAGCTAAAGGAATTCACCTGACTTCGTGATATGTAGTATGGTTGATATCTTACGTATATCTTCAGATAACCTTCGTATGTAAAATGAAAAGAAAGTATTCCTGATTCTGTACATGTACTTGAAGTCGTACCTGTACGCGCATTCGGATTGATCCGTCGTGCTTATGCACAGCGTATATTGCAGATTATAGTTGATTGTTGTTTAACGCCGCACTCAGCAATATCCAAGCTATATGGCGGAGGTCTGTAAATGATCGAGTCTGGACCGGACAATCCAGTGATCAACATCATCTGAATCGTTCTACGCAATTGGGATACGATGACATGTGTCAACCAAGTCAGCAAGCCTGACCACCCGATCCCGTTAGTCGCCGCTTACGACAAGCATGGGTCGCTGAAAATCAATTCTAACTCTGATCTTCACGGGTCTTGCAGGTTACGGAGAGGGAAAACGAATGCTCACTCTATTTTCCACAAGTAACATTAACTCGGGAACTCTCCGTGATAACTGTTTACTAAAGAAGAATACTCACGTGTTCCAGTACAACAGTCAAAGCCGGTTCTGCAAGATACGAAGTTGAAAAAACGTATCAGCCTGCTTGACAGTTCCCCTTGGACATCCTCCTTCGTAACAGACGCCATCACGATAGAGAAGCGTACACACTGAAATACAGATGGGGTATTGATGATATAGCAATCAAATCAGGATATTCATGTGACTATAACCTTCTAGCGCCATACAGGCAGCTTGTGTTATACGGTGTCATAGTAATACACATATTGTTTTGGGCCCTTCGAGCATGCAGTGTGCATGGAGAAATGCGCATGAGAAATGGACCGTTATTATTAAAATATTATTATTATTATTATCATGATTATCATATGTTACAGGTGGCACATCTGATTAGCTTATGTTACAAATTAAATAGGGGGAATTACTCTTGAACTCAATCTTTAACCCAACCCAACTAACTGACTCGCTAACCCAAACAGCGAGTATTTTCATTGTTAAAGTTTGAGAGCATGAAATATACATGATATCATGCAAATGCTGTGCAGATAGTACCCAGAGCCATAGTGTTTATTACATACAATAATACGTCATATGATACAAATGTACTTGATATATACCTGAAGGCAAAAATATTAGACCACATCACCATTGTACTTAACCATTTAACGAAACAAATAATCAAGACACGTTATCCTTTACTGAGACTTCAAATGAAATTATGTTAGCTAACTTTAGAGCTAGTGAAAGACTTTGAACATTTGTTAACTCATTTGCTCATAAACCTCGATATCTTGACTGTAATATTTTGATTCAACGGTAACTATATCAATGTAAGAGCTAAACTCATTAAAAACGAATGTATATGGGCAGAATATCTTTCTGTTTAGGCTAGTCTCCCCATTGCCGTTAAGATATTATCATGCCTACGTTTTTGAAGTACGACGTTCCTCTAAATGTACATTTGCCTTCATATACGTCCATCATGTCCACATAGCAAGCTGCTTTCTTAAGCGTCATGTTGTCATTCACAGCACTGTGTGCTTACAGGGTGGGTCTGATTCACAGACATCACGTTTTAACATACAAGCCTATTGCTAACTGAAGCGAGAAGGTTCATACATTTGCTCAATACAAGAGGTGGGATGGGGTGACATTGTCTAGTGTGTCCCCCATACTTGACACAACACCAACAAAGAGTTGTTTACATAGCAACTTCCTTGTATCATTTATTATTAGAAAGTAAATCAGGGCATCTTCTTGCTTCAATTACTTCTTAAATACTTACGCATTTAAAATTTCATATCTTTAATCAAATTTAACCTTTTATATCTTACCAGTTTTACTATATACCTTTTCAAAATCATTACAGCGCTCGAGAATTCTATTCGAATCAGGTTTGCATACGTTTTGCAAAAGCGTATTTTGTTTGATAATGTGCACATTCTGAAATGCCAAGGGACCAAATTAATCAAGGTGGGGTATCGGTCGTGGTGTTGAGAATGGTTTGTGTGCGATATCACTCAGACACGTTTGACAATCGTATATATGTACTGCACACGTCGCAGTCTGACACGGCCCGTATGTTGGATTTTAGCATGCAATAAATTTACATAAAAAAGACGTGTTCGTATATATGCGGAGATTCATGTCATTGTGTATATATAGTCTTGCAGTGGAGCATGACGACATATGATTTTGGAACGTTTTGGTAAACAAATAACAAACTAATCTCTTTTCCATACCACGATACTCGAACTCTTGAAAAATATTTAAAAGGTAAAATGGTTAAACCGAGTTTACATACTGCAAAGATATTTATTTGGAGTAATTGTCTTGTTTAATACAAAGGTTGGCCATGCTATCCATCGATACCGATACAGGTCGTTATAGCTACCAACGTTTTTCTTAATATTAACGTATAATAGGACATTTTAACAATGCAACAGGACAACCATGTTTGGTCGATCAATAAATTGATCAAAATGTTTACTCAACGTTTCATTAATCGAGGCCGTCTGGATGGTCATGGTAAAAAACGGAAAAGCATCTAAGACCAGAACTTAAGCCTCAAGGAATTGTATTCAAACCACGAATCTCTTTTACGGTTTTTCATTTAATACACATAACAATACTAGGAGAAACATATAAATTTATATGTTAAAAGAATGGTACGATGTTACATAATGTTTTCTCGAACTTTTTGGACGGCGAATCATCACAGCCTCCCACCCTCTAAAGGTACGGAAAAAAATTATCAACAACAATAAAAAAGAGTCACATTTTGATTTGAATATCTTTTTCGTAATGATATTGAAATATGTTCCTATTCTCACCTGTAAAATCGGACCTTACGGCTTGTACGGCCAAGGCAAGCGTTAGCAGTTTGATCGCCGCCATCTTCTTTCTCGCTTACCAGGGCGGAATATCTGTCAAAATACGTTATATATCTGCACTATTCATTTTGTGGAGTTGGTAAACATTTGAGGATACTATGAATGCACGGCAGCCATTACTTTGGATTGGCACACCCAAGTTAAACAACCACACAAAGGCCTATGATGGGCCGGAGACGATACATTGGTCGAACGGCTGGCAAGGGCGACTGAACAAGAGTTGAATAGGCTGACAGGACCACTAGTAATAAACGTCGTTGACTCAACATAGCCTTACTGGCTCATAAGATGGTGTTAACGAGTGAATATGCTAATGTATTGAATTGCTTGTGGATTCGATAAGGAATGTTTGACGTGATCGTATTACAAAACGAATGTTCCTGGCAATGGTTCAGAGCCAAACAAAGTTTTCTAAAGTGAACTAACAATTTGATTTTGTTTTTATTCTGAATACTGAGTCGAAAATCAGTGTCCATAATTTACAACAAATTCTAGGCGTATTCCTGTTTCATTGTTGTAATTTCGTTTACATTGTGGAGTTCGGTATCTTGAATTGTCATTAATACATTTTGCCAGTGTAACGGTAAATAAAATTATTCATGAAGACAAATGTTCAAATTAATTGCTTTGCCTTTGTAACATGTATGAACAAAATATATTGTATTTAAAGGATTCTACACATCAATTTTGGTTGTTTAGCGATTTGTAATAAAATTGAGTCAGTTATTATTCCTTAGTTTTTCTTGATCAAGTGCTGCTCTGGTTGTGTAGGTTTTGGCAGTGTTGTAGCCTAGTGATCAAGGCGTTCACGCCGAAGACCCGGGCTCTATTTCCCACTTGGGTACTATGAGTAAATCCCATTTCCGCAGTGTCGAATATTGCAAAAAACAGCATAAAACTAAACTCACTCGCTGTCATATGTCAATAGAGTCGATAATCGTTACACAGAGAGTTTACGGGAGAATATTAACCACGTTCACTTCTACCTCAAAGCAGGGACTCGACTCTTTCAACGCTCACTCAAACAGGCATATCATAATGGTCCCACATCACCAATGACATCAATATCACAACCAACAACGTAAGAAACATATTGCTATCGCGAGGTGACCTTACAGGGCTCTTCCAGTTATAAGTACGCACGTATATGTAACCTCTGAAGTTACAAGATTGTGTTTGCATGTACTGGTCTTCCTTGTCTGGGTGTCGTCGTTTGTCGTCGTGTACCCGTCTTACGTTGCCTTACCCCCATAGCTGGGTCAAGTAGACGTATATTTGCCCTACTATTGTGAGATATCGCAGAGAGGGGTGGTTCATACAACCTCCCTTCCACAAATAATGTGAATCATGGTTTCTTTGAAACATTCAGAGCGGCAGTTGGGGAAAGGAAACTGGGCGGGGGATTAAACTAGGTGGGGGATTAAACTAGGTGTGAATTATACGTGATTGTGAAAACGATGTTACTTCGTCAATTGCTTTCATAAAAATTGTTCGGGTTCTTTTGTTGCATGAATGTTCATGTCTGAAATAGAACGGGCTAAGTGAGTGAGGTTTGTTTAAAGCCGTGTCGAATATTGTTTATAACGAACTTGAAGGGACCAGGTATTTTAGCTTGTTACAACCGTAGTTCGTTATAACCATAAGCAGAATAAGCAGCAAGTGACAGGACAAAACTAACAGGTCGTTATATCTGTCAGTTCGTTATTAGCGTATTCGTTATAACCATATCGACTAAAATACGCAGCAGGTGACAGGACAAAACTAACAGGTCGTTATATCTGTCAGTTCGTTATTAGCGTATTCGTTATAACCATATCGACTAAAATACGCAGCAGTCGTTATATCTGTTGCTGTCTGTTGAGCAGGACAAAGCTAACAGGTCGTTATATCTGTCAGTTCGTTATTACCGTATTCGTTATAACCATATCGACTAAAATAAGCAGCAAGTGACAGGACAAAACTAACAGGTCGTTATATCTGTCAGTTCGTTATTAGCGTATTCGTTATAACCATATCGACTAAAATAAGCAGCAGGTGACAGGACAAAACTAACACGTCGTTATATCTGTCAGTTCGTTATTAGCGTATTCGTTATAAAACATATCGACTAAAATAAGCAGCAAGAGACAGGACAAAACTAACAGGTCGTTATAGCTGTCAGGTCGTTATGAGCGTATTCGTTATAAACATATCGACTAAAATAAGCAGCAGGTGACAGGACAAAACTAACAGGTCGTTATATCTGTCAGTTCGTTATGAGCGTATTCGTTTTAAACATATCGACTAAAATAAGCAGCAGGTGACAGCAAAAAACTAACACGTCGTTATATCTGTCAGTTCGTTATTAGCGTATTCGTTATAACCATATCGACTAAAATAAGCAGCAGGTGACAGGACAAAGCTAACAGGTCGTTATATCTGTCAGTTCGTTATTAGCGTATTCGTTATAACCATATCGACTAAAATAAGCAGCAGGTGACAGGACAAAACTAACAGGTCGTTATATCTGTCAGTTCGTTATTAGCGTATTCGTTATAACCATATCGACTAAAATAAGCAGCAAGTGACAGGACAAAACTAACAGGTCGTTATATCTGTCAGTTCGTTATAAGAGTGTTCGTTATAAACATAGTTGGCTTTACTAGTTTGGGACCTTATAACTTCGAGACATACCATCCATGCAGAGCAAATTTGCGGCACCAATGACTTTCTTTCTAGAAAGCGTGCATTATGCTATTATACTATTGCTGATATATGTATATAAATCATTTCCAATTACATGTTTTTGAACAGAAGCCAGTCATATAAATACGTCTATTCATATATAAATATTTTCAAGGGTATTTATGTTGTTTGTTTGGTGTTTATTTATTTATTTATTTATTTATTTATTTATTTATTTATTTATTTATTTATTTATTTATTTATTTATTTATTTATTTATTTATTTATTTATTTATTTATTTATTTATTTATTTATCCATCCATCCATCCATCCATCCATCCATCCAGTCAGTCAGTCAGTCAGTCAGTCTGTTTTGGTGAAAACCGTGAGGAATTGGCCTTAGGCCACCCATGCTTGTCCTAAGATGCGACTAACGGGACCGGGTCGTAAGGCTTGCTGACTTTGTTGACACATTTCATCGTATCCTAATTGCTTACGTCGATGCTCATGGTGTTGATCACTGGATTGTCTGCTCAAAACTCGATTATTTATAGCCATGTAGCTGGAATATTTTAAAAAATAAACACGTTTTGGTGTAAAGAGACACATAACTGTGAATATTATGTGGATGAACCACTGAAAATCAGGATTGACACCCGGTGTTCGCGAAAAGGGAACAATCATATCCAATTTGCGGTTCCTAATATATTTGTTATGTATCACTTCATTATTGGAAACCGCCCCCCAATGACGATGAACATTTGAAACCATTGCATGTTCATTTCTACCTAATTACCCCAAATGTTCAGACGTACCAGTGTTGAAGTTAAGAACCCGTCCTTTTCGCAACAAAGTATTGCACACCCATGGTTGGAGTCTGTACATTCAGGTAGTATATTCATCGATAAACATCTTCATACTGGTACAGTAAAATGATATATCTTCTTCTGTGTATCAGCCTATTCTGTAATCACACATACTCTACGTGGTTGACAACAAAAGTGTCCAACTAATAAGTCGTATTTACATGTTTACATTTCCGGATGACAATTACCGTATTGCCTCTTATAAGTGCCGGGAGTAAAGCTGCGGTATCAGATACAATTAATTACACCCAGTCAGCGCAATAAGCGCCAGGCCTCTAATAAGCGCCGGGTCTGGACGTCCGTTGAAAAGAATAAGCGCCCGGGAGCTTATTAGAGGAAATACGATGCATTGTGCAGACGTTGAATTGTGCTTCGTATGTTAGACACGGTCTGGAAATTTCGGATTTTACGTTATACACGTAACGTTGAGCGCTCCAGATACAATATCTGTTTACAGTGTTCTGACATTTGAATAAATGTACCCATGAGCTATGACATTTGTTTATAGAGTAGTAGCGTGTCCTGGTTGTATTCCTGACTAAGACAATGGCCACGCAGTAACGACCATAACAACGTGCTGTCTGACTCTGGCTTAAGCGTTCGTAGAATTGTGATGGCGGAAACATTATTAAAACTCTCCGAATTCGCAGACAAAGAACCTTTGTGCGTTTTGTTGCAAATATACTTGAAGAAGAAAGACATCTGATATAAAATGGTGGAAACTGACGAACCATTATGTAACCACGTAGTTTGGTAAAAGCTAGGTGTATATAAGAAGCTTACATCGACTCAACAATATTCCAAAGGAGGCTGACATCACCAGTTGATTTACAGTAAGTTTTTTGTGAGAAAGTTTGGGAGATTCGAGCCTATTATTCTTGAGATCATTCTACTGGTACACATTCCTACAAAAAGATTCTTTCACGTAATAATGTAGCAATATGTTGAGCATTTTAGGGGATGTTTGATGACAATGGATTCCACACGTTATTCACATTAGTGTTCTCAATGTTCATCGGGTAAACAGTAAATTAAATATTGTGAGAAGTGTCCATTTGAGAATCTGGATTTATTGTCCTTTGTTCGAATTTGAAATTACCGAAATGATCTTAGCTTTTCCACATCTTTACTTTGTCCCTAAACTTTTAACTAAACGTATGCTTACGCACTAATATAATTGACACTCCGTTCACAACTGCGTTCTCCAATTACTCACATATAAATAGGGTAGCCCAGTGTTTGCTCGTCACGCCGAAGACTGGGGTTCGATTCCCACATGGTACAGTGTATGAAGACCATTTCTGGCGACCCTAGCCAAAATGTGGTTTGAATATTGTTTAAAAAGCTGTTTGTATTGTTTAAATAATTGATAAATTGCACTGCCGGGAGCAAGTGAATGTGTTTAGTTTCACGCCGCGCTCAGCAATATTCCCGCTATATGGAGGCGGTCTGTAAATAATCAAGTCTGGGCCAGACAATCCAGTGATCAACATCATGAG